CTCACTCACTCACTCACTCACACACACGCGTGCAGTCTGTCCTGAACATCAGATCTGTCGTGGTCGGAGAACTCAGTGTGACGTGTGTGTAGGAGGCTCTGACTAAAGCAGCAGGTAAGAAGAGCAGGACACCGGTGCAGTTGGATTTGGGAGACATGCTGGCAGCACTAGAAAAACAACAACAGGCCATGAGAGCACGACAGCTCAACAACACCAAACCACTGTCATACACCGGTATGGCCTGCTCATTCTCAGGTCATCTCAGATCAGGATGAGTTTGTTTCTTCATCAGATTTGTAGAAATGTTGCATTGCATCAGTGTCTCAGCAATGGATGCTCTGCAGTGAATGGGTGCCGTCAACATTGAGTCCATAATCCATAATAACTCTTCCTCCAGTGAAAAAGTGTTCTGGTCTGAATCAGGAGAGAAATCTGTACAGATCAAGCGTTTAAACAGCTCTAAACAAATATGTGGCTGGATTTTGATGTGAGAGAACTTTTTCACTGGAGGAAGCGTTATTATGGATTATGTATTTGGATTTGAGTATACACCCCCCCTCACAACATCCTGGACTCCAGCGCACCACGCGTCAAGAGAGGGAAAGAGAGAGAGATTCCCAAAGTCAAGAAGACCACCGCCATGAAGAAGGTGCTCTAGAAAACACACATGCAGCACTGAGCACGACAGGATATGACATCACACAGCATTAACCCCTCTCTCTGTGTGTAGATCATTCTGCAGGAGCGTGAGGTGAAGAAGGGCAAGAGTTCTGCTGAGAACAGCGCATCTGGAGCCGACGAGCATAAACACACAAACATACACACACGCACAGATACACACACACGCACATAAACACACAAACACACACACACACACAGATACACACACACACAATACACTTTATAAACCTGTCAAATCACATTTATTTCTATAGCGCTTTATACAATACAGATTGTGTCAAAGCAGCTTTACAGGAATCAACAGGAAAATTACAGAATCAATTATGGAAACTCAACAATTATCAGTAATCACCTAAACTGAAACTTTAAGTTCTTCTTGAAAGATAAAAATAAAAGCTTGATGGTTTAACGTTAGAAAAAAAGGAATTAAGACAAATATTGTTATTGCAATTGTACTATTGTTCTGTAAATTGAAATTTAAACTTTATTTTTTACTTCAGTTTTTTTTTTACTTTATATTAAATATAGTACAATGATATTATAGTAATATGAAAATAAACAATATTTTAAAAAATATAAAGTAATATTGGTAGATTAAATGTTTAAATAAATTATTTCCAAATAAAGCTATAACAGAAGTCATCTGCTAAAAATGCCTGTAGTTTTTCATATCGCAATATATATCTCAGAAAAACAATACATGGAGTTATCAGGCTTTTTCCAGTATCATGGAGCACCCTAATATGATAACAAAGACACAATCATGTGTATTTGCTGTGTAATGTGTGCAGCAGTCCTCATCGGTCTCCTGTGTGTGTCTCTCTGTGTGTGTGTGTGTGTGTGTGTGTGTGTGTGTGTGTGTGTGTGTGTGTGTGTGTG